GTGTGCCTTGGCAGGGCACCCCCGGACCCCCCTAGAGGATGTGAAGTCCACCCCCCAATTAAAACATGTTCAATGTTCATGCAATACTAAATAGTATACATTTGAAGCCTTGTTATATAAGCTGTCCACCATGTCAATATGTTTCTCTGTTTGTAGCTTTTGTAGAGGTTTTTCATTGCCAGCTAAAATCTTGCCTAGGGCAGCAAATTGGTCAAAACCGGCCCTGGTGTCATCCCCACCGCACCCCCCATTTGAAACATGTTCCCACGGCTATGCTTTTGACTGAGTCCACTTCACTAAGTTTCAGTGTCTCTTAGCTGTCACTATATTTCCCCTCTGGGACTAATGAGGGATTCTGATTCTCCAAAAAGAGATGGAGCTTTCCTTCAAAATGAAGGTTGCATCGTTTATACTAAATGCATTACAGAAAGTCTCCTCAGCATTTTATGAATTTAATAATTGACTTAAAATAAAAGTTTAATTAGATAGTGTGTTCGCACTTCTCTAAGGGGCTTTATATTAACTCGGTGTTGGTGCACACATCATCCATTCAAGTGAACCTTCATGGCAGAGATGTGGGTGACATCAAGTGGGATATAGAGCTAGTGGGAAACCATTTAGCATAAGGTTTCTAAATGTTATTTACAGGGTTCCGAAGGGGTCTTAAGTCTTACATTTGATAATCAGAATGTAAGACCTTAAAAAGTCTTTAATATGATAAAAAAGGTCTTAAATATGATTTAGCCACCACTCTATTCCGCCCCTTGAGCTGGGTTCCTAAATATCTACAGACCCCACAAATGCTGTGCACCTTTGTCCAGGGCCCATGTCATGCTTTTCCGGTTATCACCGTCCCCTTGTGTGTTATGAAGGTTTTTCTGCATGTAAACGGTCTGCAGAGTCACAAACCCTCAAAGTACACCCTGTACTGAGTAAAACTCTAACACTCAGGATTCTTACGGTCATTCAAAACCTGGAAAAGTCATGGAAATCAAAAATGCTAATTCCAGGCCCTGGAAAAGTTATGGAAAACAATATTTTTCAAAAGTCATGGAAATGTAACTAAAGTTGCATCAAATATAATTTATATTTTAGCTAATCGCCAAAATAGTAATTTTATAATGATAATAAATACTGTATCGTAATGAAACGTAAAATGGCATTTAACTGACGGGGTATTTTGCTGGTGAGAGATTTGAGTTGCTTTAGCGTGTAGCTATTGGATTTGTTTTAGAAAGGCACAACATGTTTCATATGCAGACCTTATTTCCTGTTCCATGTTAAAATAAACCATTTTCAGTTGTACCGCTGAGAGAGTAATTTGTTTGGTCATGAAAAATTAGGTAAAGGTCATGAAAAAAATCATTGGTGAAAGTGTATGAACCCTGGATTCCTTTTGTTTGGGCTTAAGAATATAATATTAAACAAAATCTGGAAATGCTAATCAACCAACGTCATCAAGGGTGAATGTGAAAAAGCAAGAATGGCTGAAGTACAGCTCGGTGCTAAAACATGTTGTTGTTGTTTCAGGTTGCAGCATTCGTGGAGAGACGTCCAGCAAGCCAAGGACAGAGCAAACGGGCAAGTGGTGACAATTATTCTTTTTCTACTCGGGGATGACAAAATAACTTTCAGGTTGAAATAGGTTAATGGCTAGATAACATTTTATGAAAACAATTATAGGATTGTTCAGTTTCTCTTTTCAAACCTCAGACAAAATCTTCTCACTGACTTTTTGGATGCCTCTTTTAATTTAATGATATGTTAAAGTGTCCACATGTTTTTTTTCAGTTTTCATATACTCTCTTTTCATAATAAGGGAACTTTCTGCTACGGACAACTTGCCTCATATGCAGCATATAAATAGGCAAATATATATTTTTCTAGCCTGTTTGAATTGAGAAAGAAGAGGGAAGTAACTTTGTTCTCCAAGGGCAAAATGAATTTCCCTGTCACATCTCTAAAAACCGTCTTCTAACTAATGCTCACTGCCCGTGTTGTGTCTTGTGTTCAGGTTGGAGGCGTCTCTGGGTCAGTCGGAGCAGCAGGTGTGTGAGTTATCTCAGGCTCTGGCTCAGAGTGAGAAGCAGCTCAGCCAGCTGCAGGTCCTCTCTCAGTCCCAGAGCGTGCAGATCCAGCAGCTCCAGGATGTTTGCACACAGCTCAGTGGTGTGCGGGAGATGAACGAGGTTCGTTTTTCAGATTGAAATACTTACACTTGCATCACTTGTATTTCTCTTTCTTGCTTTAATTCTCTTGAGAAGTCTGTAGCTCAACAAAATATAAATAAGTCTATTATTAGGGCATTTAGTTTGAAGCTTCAAAGCTAAAGACATTACGTTCTCAGTTAGTTATCTTTTAGCCGTTTAGATTTAATTACCGTCCTTTTCTTTGTGTCCATAATTTGTTTGATCTCCTGATTGCTGCACACACACCTGTATTAACTTAGCGGGAGTGCAGACATTTAGCGGCACTATGAATCACGGATCATAAAATATGAAGACAGACAGCTTACTTGGAAACTCTCAATACAAGTTTTGCACATTTAAATAATTACATTTGGTACAGTCATTTTATTCACCCGGTCTGCTCAGTAAAGTGCGTCATCATGGTATGCAATTTCAGTTTGATCATTTCCTGTTGTCTGTGTGTGTTTCAGTTCTTACAGGTGGAGAATGAGTTGACGAGGGAGCAGATAACTGAAAGTGAACGGTTGCTGAGTGCCAACCTGCAGGCTCTGCGGCAGAGGAACATCAAGTGTGAGGACCTGAATGGAGAGCTTGGTCAACTTCAGTAAGTTGAACTTAAAAACACCCATGTCATTATCTTAATCCTATTGAATTCAAACAGTTTCAAAATGCAGCTACAGTGATAAAACATAATGGAGACACGTGAAATGAGATACTCCAATAAATCATCTTTAGAACAGGGTTAGGGTTACACTAAACCTAAAGTACTAGCAAATATAAAATAACTTCCTTTTTACTAGTTCTTTAACAAATATGATATGCATTACACTTTATACAGTGTATTGAGTTGTATCTTATCATTAGCTTCTTCATAAGAACTGACATTATAATTTATTATTTGAAAATGAAGGTAGAAGCAAAATTAAGCAAAGAAAAAGCACTCTAATAAAAAATGTAATTTATTATTATTATTATTATTATTAAATAATGGCTTGATAGTACATTTGATTAAGATACAAAATATTCCCAGTGTGGGTAAACAAGTCTTCACTCCAACTATGAGCATACAGAAATGTTTAACATTCAGAAAATCTTTCTACAAACTCTTTTTAAAGTTGTATAACATTTTCTTTGTATACGGCATGATAAGTTATCTGTATGTGTGATGCAGGATTGAGAAGAGGAGCTTGCACGAGGAGCTGGAAACCACAAAGTCCAGAGCCGGTGCCACTCAGCTGGAGCTTAGACGGAAACTGGCAGACGCGGTCACTGAAATAACTTTGCTGCATCACACACTGAGGGGACTGACCAATGAAATACATGCTGCTCTCAATGGCCAGGTAATGCATACGAAAGGCGTAACACAACCTGAAGCAGATTCTCTGCATTTTCCATACTTCCATGTGAATCCATTCTAATATTAAAGGGGACCTATCATGCAGAATGCACTTTTTGATGTCTTTTATACATAAACATGTGTCCCCGGTGTGTCAGGGAACTCACGCAGCGTCAGAAAATAAAACCCTCTCTCTTTTCCTCCGTACCCAAATCTCTAAAAACGGGGGTACAACGGAGCTGATCCAGATTTGAGTCCGATATGACGTAATATCTGAAATGTGGACCCACAGCACTATCAGAAACGCTGCTATCAGAAACAATGCCTGACTGTTTTAGACGTAATCTGGTCGATGTTTACATTAGCATCGCTAACACTCAGAGCTAACCTGTACTGGAGAGCATATATGTGCAATATATACATTACATTTTATACATAAGCCATTAATAACTGTGTAATATATTCCTGATTGCTAAATTCTAACAACTGTTACAGGATTTGTATTTTGGAAAGTATGTTTTCTTTTACTTTTATTTTTTATATTATATTTTTTAATATTATATCATAACTTAGCACTTTTTTCTTAACATAGGTAACATTAAGCTGGCTTTCTACCCAAAATCAGCACTTTTGAAACAGGAAGTGAAATAGAGGGATATGAGGCATGGCTAGAATGGGTGATCTGTTTGGTATTTTGAGCAAAACACTTCATAGACATGTTTTTTATATATCTGAGACCTATGCTATTGCCTAAAAATAGCATGATAGGTGACCTTTAAATAAATAGGTACACGTCAGGCTATAACTATATTTCTAGTGGACTCAAGATTGCACCACTAATTGTGTTCAAGTTATGTTACTCATGTGTCAAGTCAAACTTCATGATAAGGGAAAAGGCTAAAATCAGCTCCAATCAAACCGATTTCATCACTGTGGAGAAAAACAATATTTTGATGTATACTTGTATTGTTTTTCAGAAACCACAGAAGGAGTCTCAACAAGTGGAGCGCCGTCACCCCTCCAGCTCGTTTGTCGACAGCGTCATGGTTGCACTCACAACAGAGACCCTTCCTGGATCAGGTACTGTAGCTTACTGGGTCTTTGAGTGATAGTCAATTATAATTTAGTTCATGACTCCACAAGAAAGGCTTGGTTCTTTTTAAGAATGAAAAATATTATATTTTCTCATTAAAGAAGCTTGTGTGTGTTTTTTTTTTTTAAACCTGAACACAAATAGCCACTTTCCAACTGAAACAGTCAAGCTGGTTTAACCGATACTGGTGGTCAATCTGAGCGTGTCAAGGTGCATTATCCAACCACGCATTATAATGTTCTACTCAACCTGGGTTAAAAGAAGTCACTGTGCGTCTATCTGGCATGAGCACCAATTTAAATAAATGTAGTTCAATGCAAGTGTATTTAAAAAAAGAAGAAGTTGCAAACCAGTGTCCCCGAACAGACTGACACCCAGAGACACTCATGACTGTTAAAACAAGATGCTTCTTGGTAAGAGTGTTTACAAAGAAAACATTGATGAATCCCAGAAATCAAAGACTACCAAAACATGAGAACAAAACGTAGTTATAAACAAAAGTAATTCATATTTTCTATATCGATTCGCTTCATGCATGAGAAATGGCATCTTATTACTCGAGGCAATCGGAAATCTAACTCGTAGTTCACTTTCTCTCCCGTCCCCTCAGACGTGGCCGACCCACCGTGCGAAACTTTGTTTAGTGAGACGAGCGCCTTCACCCGCATTGCAGCCGTCACGCCTAGAAAGAAAAGTAACGCAGCAGCAGAGTGTGACCCCGAGGAGGATCAGAGCAGCGTGGCGGAGCTGCTGGTCGATCTGGGCAGCACCATCACAGAGCTGATCAGCAACACGAAGCTGCTGCAACAGCGCAAAGACGCTCAGCTGGAGGAGCTGCACCTCGCCATGTGAGTGCCGTACCGTGTCTATGTGGTGGGGAGATCAAGATGGCCTTTCCACATGAGGCTCACTTCATGACCAATACACTTAGGCCTGCAACTAACACTTGTTCAGTGCATCGTACATATGTTTCAGATTCCTCAATGAACTGCTCTGTTATTAAGGGAAAATGCCAAACACAAGTTTCCTGATCTTTATTTTTTTGACTTTTTTGAGGATTTTTGTTTGATGCATGAATTGCATAATTATCCATCTATAGAAAATCTCTTTTCAGTAGTTTTGATTGTTTGATTAATGAACACATTGTTCCATAAGTAGATCTGTGTCATGTAGAGAGTGTGTTCTGCTGCAACTATTCGACTGATTGCAATCAATTTCTCAACTCACCAAATGTGAAAAACAAATCGGGAACAACCGATTGATTTATTAAAGGTCTGCACTTCATTAAGATTTTGTATCAGAGGTTTGGCATTGATATGTTCAACCCTACACAGAGAAGAGGTCATACTAATTGTGTTAATAAACATGAAGGTTTCTGGATTTACTTTCCTTTAGATATGAATTGGTGGAGTTGCCAAGTTCTCTTTCATATTGAACATATTAGTGCCGTTTTTATAATTTATTTTGGTAAACACCAATAGGGTTCATGCATGTCATTCTTCTTCTTCTTCAACCTTATCTGATGCATTGTTCCAGCTCTGGCCTGCAGGTGGAGCAGCAGGCTGCAAGCAACAGACATGAAGCCGAGGCGTCTGTGCTGAAGCTCCAGCTCAGCCGTCTGAACAGCCTGTTTGAGAGAGGAAATCAGGCGCTGCAGCAGAAAGCTCTGGTAAGTGCTACTGGACTTTAACTTTGAAAACAGGATACAAAAGAGCTCTGCCCTGTCATTTTCCTATAAATGTTTCTCTTTTCACAGGATGAGAAAACTGTGACAAAGTTGATGTCAGAAGTTCAAGAGACCCAGGAAATTCTAAATAAACACAAGACTGAGAGCAAAGTAAGGCACACCATCCATACTGTGTATATATTGACTACCTGTGAAAGAAATGCTGGTATTAGCTTCAGCTGGTGCGATGGATGTCATCATTTTTATGTGGGCAGATTCGTAGTTAAAATCAAAAAGGGGGGGAAAGGGATCCCACCAGCCAGGAAGGACAATGGCACCCTTTCCTTGGACCTTGATTTTATCATTTGAATTCAACCCCATATCTGTAAAGTTTCATGACTGCCCCTAGCACACTTCCAATGCTATTGCAGTGACAAAATCTAGTCTTAAAATGGAAATACAAACACTTGTTTTTATCATATACATTTTTTTATTATTTCTTAAGTACTCCATGCTACAGTTACCAAAGTGTCTCCAAAACCACATTCTGACACACACTCAAAAGCTGGAAACAATACTAGCTAAAAACCAACTCAGAATACACTTGATTACACTTAACGGTTTATTTGTATTTAATTGTTCACAGGAACTGCGGAAGGAGGTGGTTGAGCTCCGTCGTTCTCTCCAGCAGTCACAGGTGGAGACTCAATACCTGCGGGTAGAGTTGGGAAAAGCCGGTAGCGAATCAGCTAACCCGGCACAACTAATGGAGGAACAAATCAAATTGTTGAGAGAGGTATGATCCTGTCACTTATGCTCTGTGAAATGCCAGAAACATAATAGTTTATTAGCCTTAATTGTAAGCTATAGTTGAGCAAACACATCAGGTTCTCTAACATGGGTCCTTTTTTTAAACTGAAGGTGGAGAGACTGAAGTTGAGTGTTGAGAAATTGGAGCAGGGCAGAGTTAAACTCCTTGAGAGAGCAAAAAGACATGTAAGTATCGTCTTGTTACCGTGGTATTGACTCACTGCATAAAAGTGGTGTTATTTATTAACTGGGACAAATATAAAATCTATAATGTCATTATGTACGATGTTGTAATGTCGCTTGCAGCAACTCATCCATCTGGCCAACCAGCAGAAAAGTGAAAATGAGCTCCAGATGTTGAACAAAATGATCAATAAAGTCAGAGAGGTGAGCGATGCTTATTATAATGCTTGTCTTTTTCTGTACATGAATAAATGCTGTTTCTATGTTTGTGTGTTGGAAGTAAAGAGGGGTTTTCATTTCTCCACACAGACTTTGCTGTCTTTGCCGGTGGTCGTGAAGAATTGTGAACAACTCCAACGGCTCATTTCATATATCGGCTGACATGTTTGTTATTGTAACCTGTGTTCATTGTATTTATAGCCATGTTGTTTAAGCTTGTCCTGGATGTGTTTATTCATATTTTCAGTATGATATGTTATCAAATAAATGATTTAAAATGGGATTATCCTTGTTGTGATGTTTTTTTATTTATTTCAGGATTAAATGCAATGACAACAATTCAAAGTGTTTGCCTTCTTTGTGATGGCGGCAAACACATGTTAACATTCAAAAAAGACATGTTTTGCACAATTTGCTAAAAGCAGTTTTGCTGGACAATAAGTTTGACACATCTCTTCAAATGTCATACGTCATAACTATATGCTGTACACCTGGCTTTGTTTTAGCAGCAGTTACCCAGTATTGAGTAAAAGGTAATAGATGATGGCTTGGGCGTAATAACGATAAATGATACAACTTAATTCAGAAGATGTCTCATGTCGGCCTGCATTGTTCATAAAGTATCTGTCTTCAAATATATATTGAATCCGTCCCCCAAAACATTTAAATAAATACATTAGTAACCGTTTGCAAAGGTGCAATCCTAGTGTTATCATTTACAAGTCATCGATAGGGTGCACACGTTTGCAGATTGTTTCCACAGTAGATGTTATGCTGTTATGTTGATGATGTGGTTTTCCAATGCTGGCTAGACCAGAGTTTGTTAAAGTCTCTGTTCCCCTCTTTTGGATATATTATTTGTCTTAACATATTAGCTAGGCAAACTGTGAAAATCAACCACTTACTGCTATTCTAGGCTACCATTAGACCACAACAGAAGTGAGTGTTCATCAAATAAAGCTTTGTTGCGGATATCCCCTGTCACCGGTATCTTGAGTTCAAGATAAAAAAAATTCTTTTGAAATTATAAATGTGACACTTGCTGATTACTACCATTCTTAGTTGATCCACAAAGATTTAAACATTCAGCGGCACTCAAGAAAAATGAAGACCCTTTTAACTGTGGATACTTTGTTGGATCAAAAAACATCTTCCCTGTCAACAAAGCTTCTTTACTGATAGGAAAATCAACTATCTTCAAGATAATGTAGCGTTTCCTAGCGAGTCCCGTCTTGTCAGACATGCAGACTTCGAGTGAGGAAGGTTTCTCATGTTGAGATAAAGGCCTCAAAACGACTTAACTTTTTCAGGCTGAAATATCGAGTTACAAGTCGATTCATTTTCTTGATTAGTGGATCTGTGTGGCAGATTAACTGTGTCTGCCTGTCTAAGCGCAGCGTTGAAGTCTGGACATGATAATTGGGGCCCGGTCACGCCGACTGGAAACACTGTGGCTCCAGACAACACTTCAAACCAGCTGAGCTGAAACAGTGAGGAAAACACGCGAGCACAGAAAGAAAAACATGTTCGAGTGTGTTTTTTTGTTCCTGGAGGCAAATGTCTGGATCTGTTTGTCCATGTTATTTTGTAATATATCATAGTTGATGTACAAATATAACTAATAGGAATTAAATATGTGACAAGCCTTAAGTAACCCCTTAGGTATTATACAAATAATTCTGTTTGGATTTTTTGGCAAAATTGCTGAAATTGTAATAGCAATAAAACATCAATAGTTAAAATATGTTATTCTTTAAGAGCCAAAGTGCTATATAATTCTTTTATTTCCAAAAAGGCAACCTAATATGCATTTTCATTTGGCAACAAAATACATGCAAATGTACTAAAGCTGACGTTATTCGAGTCACTTATTGCTAAGCCAATGACCATGAAGCAAAAATAATTTATACTGATATTTCAGAGTCTGTCATGTCTCAGCATTAATGTAAATATTAAACTTGCACATTCAAATTATGACATAAAAATAAGCTTTCAACCACACTTGACATTAGATACACTTTACACTCACATGCTGCGTATAGAGAGGCCTTGACATTTAAATCCACATTTATCGCATCTAGTAAATTATCATCAATGGAAAGTGGGGTGTTGGGTTAATGTAATGAATCACAGTTCTGTAAGGTGAGGTTAATCAGTCTTTTCAATGTTGCCCTTAACAAAGGTCATTAACAAAGAGAGGAACCATCACGATTGTGCGCATTATGTCAGGCTCACTGGGTGCCGTCTCAAGTCTCTGAGGGTTTTAGTGGCTCAGATAGCAGACACAAACCTGTCCATATTCCCTGGATATGTTGGGTGTCTCAGGTAACCCCCAGTGTTAGCAATAGGCCCTGCAGCACTGTTATACTGCGAGAGAGAGCCCAGCTGAACGGGGGACACCCTGCCGTAATGGTCCACGGCCTCCACAGACCCGTGAGCTGAGGAGTTGAGGCGTCCATGCGCTGCGTACCCCTGGCTGTGGCCCTGTGCATACGCTGCCTGGTGTGTGTGTTGGTGCGGGTGGCCGTTTGGCCCGGAGTAGGTGAACCCCGGGTGGGTAGAGGGGCGTGATGATACAGCCCCTCCGCACGCTTGACTCTGAAAAGCCGCTGCTCCCAGGCCGCAGTGACTAGACCCATTTGGCAGACCCTCTGGACTGAAGCTGCGGCTGGACTGCTGCATCACCTCTGACCCCTGACCTGCGAGCATGCTGGCTGGACTCTGGTGTCCTATGAGGTGGTTGATGCTGAACGTGCGGTGTTGGCCAGGTCCAAACACAGGAGGAGATGCAGAGGGGTAATAGGCAGAGTGCAGCTGCTGCCCGTACGCCGGACTGACTGTCATGTTGTTGTAGACAGAGTTGGAATATGAGGCTGATCTGGCAATCTGCACAGGAGAGAAAACTGGTGTCTCATGCACATATGAGGTGTAAGTGTTCATGTCACAGCGCTTAAACCTCTTCCTGCGCCTCAGGAAGCTGCCGCTCTCGAACATGTCCTCAGCGTTGGGGTCCAAGGCCCAGTAGTTGCCCTTCCCTGGCCGCCCCGGCTCTCGGGGGATCTTGATAAAGCAATCATTGAGAGTCAAGTTATGGCGGATGGAGTTCTGCCATTTCTTTGAATTGTCTCTGTAGAAGGGGAAGCGCTCTGTGATGAATTTGTAGATGCCCCCCAAAGTCAGCTTGCGGTCAGGGGAGTTGGCTATGGCCATGGAAATGAGTGCGATGTAGCTGTAAGGAGGCTTCCCTCGCTGCAGAGGTCTCTTCCTCCTCCGACCTCTGGGCTGATCCTCTGTCTGCTGCTGAGTGTTGGATGCAGACGATTGTGTGTCTGCTGGAGAGCCTTTCTCCACTTTGACCACCGGCATTGTCATGAACAGTTCAGATATGTCCCTTAAATGTCAGATTTTAAAGTGAACTTACTGCAAAGGCTGCACAGTATTAGTACTTCCACAGTTCAGATGAAGTTCCCTCTGTCTGATTTAATCCTGGGCTTCAAAAACAGTCCTGCCAGAAAGATCACATTTGTTTACAACAACTCACGGTCTTTCGGTCCAAATCCAGCCGCTCTTCAAGTGCAAGTCATACACTTTTTACCAAGAGCTCGTGTTTGAACAATTGCTATTCTCATTCCCACAGTTCGTAGTCATGGGAAATTAAAGAGTTGTGCTGCAAGAGTGCCATGCATGTTGCTTAAGGTGTGTGTGAGAATGAGTCACTCAGCGTTACCTGAAGAGACATTAGCTCCACCTGAGGGGCCACACCCCCTGAAGCATCACAAGCTCTTGACATACCTCAGCTCTATAAGGGTCTATTGTTCACGTTTGACAAGTCTGCATACTTTCTAGTAAACATTTCTATTTCTAGAGTGTTGACGTTTCCTTAATACAGCTGCAATAAATCTTGAAAGTTCTGAAATAGCAAAGGGATATCTACTTAATCAGAATATAGTTTTTAAAAGTTGTAATGGTTGTTCATGAAAAAAATACCAACAGGATTTTCAGTGTTTACCTTCTATTATTATATTTATCTAATCTAACTATCAGACTTAATCTATGCAGAGCTATTTTTTATTATCACAGACGAGAACAGTAAAATCCAACAATGTTTCCTCTTGATATTCAAATACCATTTAAACCTGACCTCAGTTTACTTTAAAAAGTCAAAATGATCCATGTTGTTTTGATGATTAACACTAAAATGCCTATTTAGTGGTAACTTAACCTTCGTGTTGTTTTTCTATCCTGCTTCTTTGTTTGTTTTGTGCCAGTGGTTGGACGAGCCAGCTGTGTAGGAGATGTAAATGTTTTCCAGACAAAGGCCGTCCTGTGATTTCAGCATGCAAAAATATAGGCTACCATCATAAATCCTGGACGCAACCCGGGAGACGAGAATAACCAACTCTCCACATGTGGATTGATCATTGAGATTGGTTTGGTAATGAATGTCTCTAAGGAATGAGTGATAACATGTGCTGGACATGTTTTAAAGTCAGTGTCATAGAAGTTTGTTCTTTATTTGAGTCTATTTTTGCGGTATATTCATTCAATTAAAATTATCAACCACATTCTTAGATAGTTCAATCTGTGAAAGCTCTGTTTGAAAACCGACTTTAAACATTACATTTCACAGGCACCAGTGATGGAAACAATGCTGAAGGTTTGAGCAGCTCTGGTGGTATGAAGTCCAGGGGCTCCACAGTGTAGGGTTCACCAGCTTAATCTTTTAAACAAACACGGCAGCACACTCCCACCGCTCATCACCAGGCAGGGTTAGCAGAGCGGGCATGTGTCAGAGCGGGAGCGAGGGTTTGTTCAGACAAACAGCGCGATGAAAGGTCTCGTCCCGTGGCTCTCCTATCTCAGCTCTACCTGCCGCACCATGCTACACAATGTGGTGTATGATGGGTTAACGCCATATTAACATGGGAGTCCACATACCTTTTAGTAAACTTAGTGGTTGAAGTTGTCATTAACAAAACACAGGAGTGCCATTCCAATATTGTGCATCTTACTAAAAAATCAAGAAAAATGTTCACAGTTGATACAAAAAGTAGATAATTAATAACAGCTTAATACAGGACATTGTCATTTACACTATGGGAGATAATATCTTACATTTCAAATATCTTAAAGGTCTCTCCAATCTGTCAGTTAATTCGAATCGCAGGGATGAAACCCCTCTTTAATGGCCACACATGGCCACATGGAAATTTGGCCTCTGCATTTAACCCATCCTAGTACCAGGAGTCTAGTACTAGGAGCAGTGGGCAGCTATTGTAGAGCGC